CTCCTCCTCCTCCTCTTCTTCTTCATGCATGCTCTGCCACTGAGCCACAGCTCCCATCCCCGGGATAACCAGAGCGGTGGCTTCTCTTCCACAAATCAACTGGGCTTTGGAATGGATGAGACTGACTCCCAGATGTGTAGGAATGTCGGGGTCTTTTAGGCAGACGTGGAGAGTTCTTACGTTGGAAATACTAGTTCTGAGTCTGGGAACACCTTACAGACCAACAAGCTATTCAGGATGTCGGTTTTCTTTCTTTTTCTTTTGGCACTTTTGCATTTGTGTGCACGTGTGCGAATGCATGTGTGTGCTCGTGCCGGGAAGTTATGGCAACCTCTGGCAACTCCTACTGGGGCATGGGGGACGTTCAGAGAAGCGGCTTGATAGCCTGCCTCTTTCTCCCGGGCCTGGTATTCCTTGGAGGTCTCCCATCCGAATACTGGCCAGGTGTCAGCTAAGCTGCCATGCATAGGGAGAGGAGTTCTGATTGTTATGCATTCCTTCCCGTGCGCTTAATTGCTTCCCAGCTGCAACGCTTATCTGTAAAGAAGTACTGGAGGAGTGTGGTGTCTACCTTCCGTGGGATCGTTCTGGTTCCCAGCTTGGCTGCCGTTAGAGGCTATTCCTGTTTCCCGCGCGCGGGAGCCCATCTAATTGGGTATTGCGGGGGGGGGCGCATACGAATGCCCTATATCCTATTATACGCATAGGTAAGCAAGGAGGAGGAGGAGGAGGAGGAGGAGGAGGAGGAGGAGATTTATATACCACCCTTCACTCGGAGTCTCAGAGCGGCTTACAATCTCCTTCTCCCCACAACTGACACTCTGTGAGGTAGGTGGGGCTGAGAGAGCTCTCTCTCGAGAACTGCCCTTGAGAGAACAGCTCTGAGAGAGCTTGTGACTGACCCAAGGTCATACCAGCAGCTGCATGTGGAGGAACGGGGACTCAAACTTGACTGGAGGAGTGGGGACTCAAACTTGGTTCTCCCAGATTGCAGTCTGCGCTCCTAACCACTACACCAAACTGGGAAGAAGAAGAAGAAGAAGAGGAAGAAGAGAAGGAAGAAGAGGAAGAAGAGGAGGAGGAAGAGGAAGAAGAGGAGGAGGAGGAGACTGGATTTCTACCCCACCCTTCACTACCCAAAGGAGTCTCAGAGTGGCTTACAAACTCCTCTCCCTCCCCCTCCCCACAACAGACACCCTGTGAGGCAGGTGGGGCTGAGAGAGCTCTGACAGAAACTGCTCTTTTTCAAGAACAGCTCTTATCAGAACTACGGCTTGCCCAAGGTCATCCAGCCAGGTGAACGTGGAGCAGTGGGGAATCAAACCCAGTTCTCCCAGATTAGAGTCCGTGCACTTAACCACGACACCAAGCTGGCGACTGGACTCAAATACAATCCTAGGGGCAACTGGACTCAAATTGAGCTCGTCTCCTATAGACCGACAAGGAAGTGGCTTGAACACAGCTCATCCAAGAACTAGTTTCCGAAGAGAGAGGCGGAGAACAATGTGCCCTCTAAGCTGTGGAGTCTTGTGAGCAAAAATTCTACTTTGTGAGCTGCTGGCATTAAAGTTGTGGGCCAGCGATTTGGCTACGGCATAAATCAGTGTGCTCTGGAGCCATCGTTCCTGAGCGGAGACAAGAACGTGTGAGCCGGAGGCTAAAAAACTGTGAGCTAGCGCACACTAACTCAGCTTAGAGGGAACATTGGCGGAGAACCAGCTCCCTACCTCGATGTTTTTGCACGTCCCTTGCAACGCGTTGATGTAGGCTTGGATCCTGTCGTTGGCGGCCACAAGAGCACTGATCCCGTCCGTCAGCTTCGTCTTGAGGGGAGAGTCCAAAGATCAGGTTTGTTCACTGCTGAGAGCCACCCAATTGCTATTTACCCCCCCCCGCCCCCCCACGCTACTGGGAGGAGCTGCTGACCTGGTTATTTTACCCCACACCCCCAAACAGTCCGTATCCAAAATGGAACATAAATGGGACTCTCTCACTATACCATTCTACCAGGGCTATTTTTGGGCAGGAACGCACAGCAACGGAGTTCCGGCTGGCTCCCGAGTTGGCCACGCCCAGCAGGAACTCATTAGCATAATAGGCCACACCCAACAGCAGAAATTCATTAGGATTGGCTACATTAGGGATGTGTGGCCTAACATGCAAAGGAGTTCCTGCTACAAAAAACGCTCTGGGTTTTGACAACAAACAAGGTAAACAGAATAACAAGCAAAAGGTGGGTGTGGCTGGATGACCACACTTCTGGTAACATGTGGGTGCGGCCTAATATGCTAATGAGTGGTACTGTCAGGGGTGTGGCCTAATATGCTAATGAGTTTCTGCTGTTGGGTGTGGCCTGTTATGCTAATGAGTTCCTGCTGGGCTTTTTCTACAAAAAGAGCCCTGCTTCTACAATCGTTCCACTGGCAAGCCTATCAGTTACCAGGCTCAATTTAAAGTATTAGTTATCACATACAAAGCCCTTCATAGGACTGGACCCTCATAGCTGCGAGACCGCCTCTCCCCCTACGCTCCGCCATGACAGCTTTCCTCATCCGAGCAGGGCCTTCTGCAGGTGGCACCCGGCAATGGGCAAAATCAATGACTGCCCCGTGCAGCTGCCTCCACTGTCGTGGCCCCCAACTTGTGGAACGGTCTGCCTGAGGAGGTCAGGAATAGCTCCCCCCTCCCCCCGCTCCTTGCTTTCCACAAACGACACAAGTCCAAATGAAGAGGGCTTTCCCACACAAGTGAAAGTGTAGCACTGGACAAAGCGATTCACTAAGTCACTTGGTCAAATTATTGGTCGGTACTAAAGAGTATAGTATGCTCTGGGTCGAATCCTACTCTGAACATCAGAGAAGCCATGTTGGATCAGGCCAGTGGCCCCTCCAGTCCAACACTCTGTGTCACACAGTGGCCAAAACCCAGGTGCCATCAGGAGGTCCACCAGTGAGGCCAGAACTTCAGAGGCCCTCCCACTGTTGCCGCCCCCAAACATCAAGAAGACAGAGCATCATTGCCCCAGACAGTGTTCTGCCTATACCATGTGGCTCATAGCCACTGATGGACCTCTGCTCCATATAAGAACATTAGGGAAGCCATGTTGGATTAGGCCAATGGCCCATCTAGTCCAACAGTGGCCCAAACCCAGGTGCCATCAGGAGGTCCACCAGTGGGGACAGAACTCCAGAGGCCCTCCCACTGTTGTCGTCCCCCCAAGCACCAAGAAGACAGAGCATCACTGCACCAGGCACAGTGTTCTGTCTATACCATGTGGCTCATAGCCACTCATGGACCACTGCTCCACTTGTTTTTCCAACCCCCACATAAAGCTCTCTATGCTTGTAGCCGCCGCCACTACTTCCTATGGCAGTGAATTAATGTGTCATGTTAACACTTATGCTTTCCTTTGGTTCTGTTTTTTAGACTTCTGGTTGGCTCTAGAAACCCCATCTCATTGTTTATCGAATGTCCCATCCCATTTATTGTGTCGACCTCAAGTTCCCCCGAGAAAGGCGGACTATAAATTATGTCAATAAATAAAATAAATGAAAATATAGGTAAAAGGTAAAGGTTCCCTTGCTCGAAAGCCAGTCGAATCCGACTCTAGGGTTGCGGTGCTCATCTCCGTTTCCAAGCCGAAGAGCCAGCGCTGTCCGAAGACGTTTCCGTGGTCATGTGGCCTGGCCGGCATGACTAAACACCAAGGCGCACAGAACGCTGTGACCTTCCCACCGAAGTGGTACCTATTTATCTACTTGCAATTTCTTGCTTTCGAGCTGCTAGGTTGGCAGGAGCTGGAACTAGAGACGGGAGCTCACTCCGTCATGCGGCACACTCAGGTCTCGAACTGCTGAACTACCGACCTTCCACAGCCTGCAGTTCAGCATCTTAACCACTTGAGCCACCGCAGCTCCAAATGAAAATATACCCAGGCTTTAAAAACCTAAGAGCGCTGCCGGATCAAACCAATGGTCGCTCGAGTCCAGCATCCTCTTTCGTGGCCTCAACGGGAGACCTCTTGAGAAACCTTACAGCTTTTGGCTTATAGATCATGACGGGTAGCCATGTTAGTCTGTCTGTAGCAGTAGAACAGATCAAAGGAAGTCCTTCTTCACCCAAAGAGTGATTGACACATGGCATTCACTGCCACAGGAGGTGGTGGCAGCTACAAGCATGGATGGCTTCAAGAGGGAATTAGATAAACATATGGAGCAGAGGTCCATCGGTGGCTATTAGACACAACATAGAGATAGGAACTCTCGGTCTGGGGCCAGGGATGCTCTGTATTCTTGGTGCTTGCGGGGGGGGCACAATGGGAAGGGCTCCTAGTGTCCTGGCCCCACTGCTGGACCTCCTGATGGCACCTGGTCTTTTTGACCACTGTGTGACACAGAGTGTTGGACTGGAGGGGCCATTGGCCTGATCCAACATTGGCTTCTCTTTGTTTCTTTTTTTTTTTCCCAATATTTTTTTATTGAAATTTTTAGAATACATTCCAGTATAACATTATAACACAATACGTAATCCAGCGTTACATAAACAGCATAAACACAGGTTAGGTGCACAACTCATGCTACTTCTAAACGTAACTAAGTTTTCCAACTATTTCTTTTACATGTCTAGTTCAGAGAATTCGGTTGTTTAAATATCTCTAGTTAAACAGCATTATTTTAAATTTTGCATTGGCTATGTCTGACCAATCGAATTGTGTCAAGGAAATTTTTTGTAGGATGGGACTCCAAATACTGAGAGGGTTATAGAATTCACACTGGTTTTTGGATGTTGAGTCATAGATTGAGAGATTCTCCAGCATGAAGATGTCCCATACCTTATTGATCCATTGAGACAGCGTTGGTGAGTTTTTGTTTTTCCAATTCTTTGCTATGGTCATTTTTGCTGCTAACATTAGTAAATTAACTAATTGTTGTTTGTTTCTTGTGTAGTAGAAAAGAGCAAGAGTCCAGTATCACCTTAAAGACTAGCAACGTTTGTGGCAGGGGAGGCGCTTTCGTGAGTCTGAGTTGTGGCGTCTGAAGAAGGGCGCCAGAAGTAAAATTTATGATTTAAATTGTTTAAGATTAGTGTATGTTATTTTGTTGTATAAATTAACTTTGTTATGGAATCTATGTTTGGGATTAGAGGGCAGGTAGTAATCATGAATTGACTGAATTAATTTGGTGGGTGAATGAAAGTAGTGGGTGTGTTCTGGAGAGTGGTGGTATGTAGGTTTTGGTAAGAATATATCTTTGTACTTGTAGCTCTGCCTTGTGTTGCCTTGCCATAAATCAATTGAAAATGAAATCTATTGTTGATATTAGAAGTATTGTGATGATTTAAAGTGCTTAAGATTAGCATTTTTTGTTCATTTGTTATATAAATTAATTGTTATGGTATTTATGTTTGGGATTAGGGTGGAAGGCAATAATGGTGACACATTCGATAAGAATTATTAAAGTGAAAGTGCTGGTCTTTGTAGGCGATTTTTTAATGTGAATGTTCCAGTTGATTATATAATGGCCTTTTAAAATGAGAATGAATGAATATAAGTAATTTAAATAGAAAATTAGGGGTTGATGTTCTAATAAGCTATCTTGTTATATGGAGCAAAGGCAGAAAAATAGAGAATGTTATTTGATAATGATTTAGATCAGAATAACTGGCGAGGATCCTCGGTGATGCAATGTAAATTTCTCGTATGAGAATAGAGAGAATTCATAATACATCTATGGACAATCAAATTACTTGATCCAGGGGATGTGTTGAGAATTTAATTGTTGTGCGGATTAATGTTTGTTGTTGTTCTATACGTGTGTATGTGCACTAAGCATAAAAACCTAATAAATATAAATTAAAAAGAAGAAGAAGAAGTGAGCCGTGACTCGCAAAAGCTCCTCCCCTGCCACATATTCTGTTAGTCTTAAAGATGCTGCTGGAGTCTGGCTCTTTTCTACAGCCTTTGGCTTGCGGTCTATGAAACTGGAGGGGGGGGGAATCCATAAAATGAATGACGTACACAGAAGCCCCAGCAAACGTGTTAGCTGACATGAGCAGGGACGGGCTGACCTTCTGTTTCATGTAGATGTCCGAGAGGGGGGCCACTTCGCAGTCCTTGTGCTCCCCGAAGACCTTGCAGAGGGAACAGGTGGGCACCCCGCACGTCACGCAATAGATGTTGATCTTCTCATCCTCGTGTTCTTCGCAGGTGGGGTGCTCGGTTTTTAACAGGGGCCTGATGGTGGGGGGAGGGGGGGAGACACAAGAGGGAAATGGATATACAAGGTGTGCAAAGCCTTGAAACAGGTTGGCGGGGGAAGAAGAAGAAGAAGAAGAAGAAGAAGAAGAAGAAGAAGAAGAAGAAGAAGAAGAAGAAGAAGAAGAAGAAGAAGAAGAAGAAGAAGAGGAG